AATCCTACACCCCACTGTTTCTGCCAACCGCCTCTCAATCTTCCTTTAGCTGTCTCTCCTGTGCTTTTTCATTGCCAAGTCTTTCTCCTCCCTTCAGCTGGGGGGCGGGTCATCTCTTCCAGCCCAAACACCCCATTTCCAGGCACAGCTCTTGCAGATCAACCACCTTTCACCTCACACCGATCACGTACTGATGGACTGAATCTTGGTGATCAAAGGTCAACAACCTCATTACAACATTATTATGGGACAATTATATTTTAGGGAAGAGCTATGCTTCCAGGTTTTATACACGCAGACCCCGGTTCAGTCCCAGGCAGCTCCATTTAAAAATTATTTCACATAGCAGAATTTGGGGGAACCTTTCTCTGCCTGAGATTCTGGAGCGCTAGCCAGAGAAAATAATATCTAATTAATCAATGCTCTGCAATATCATGCCGTTATTCGAGCATAGCTTTAACTGCAAGAGGATTACCAAGGTGTCCTTATTGTGAAAAAACTGACAAAGGGCGTGCTCTTTTTCGCCTGGGATGAGCAAACAACGTCTACGGAGTCTGCACGCGCAGGATCGCCGCAAGCTCCTCCGCGCCGGAACCCAGGCCACCTCTCACTAATGACCAAGCGCTGACTCCTCCATTTGCAAGTCAAAAGCTCCATCCACACGCACGGAAGCCGCCCCACCCCGCTTCACAAACGCACCAGGTCGCGCCTTCTGGCGCGTCTCCAGGGTTCAGCTCCCGCAGCAACGCCCGCGATTCGGAGTCCGGCCCCATTGATTCAGACCGAGGAAGAAGAGCAGGAGGCGTGGTAGAAATCAGGTCCCCGCCTTCCCCCGGGCCGTTGCTAGGAGATGCATGGCCCCGCCCTTAGGAGAGCAACGGTGCTGGCCTCCTTCCGCGCGCGCCCCCCGCCCCTACCTAGGGTTTTTATTCGCAGTTCTGCACTTTTAATTCCGAGGTGCAATTTTTAATTAAAGGGAGGGGCATGTGAGTACTAATGCAGATAGTGCCTGAGAGCAAGTGTGCAGAGTTGCGTACAACTGAGAAACTCTCCCGTTACATTTTAAGCACTGCACATTATTCAGCACCATTTTTTAAAAAGGCTTAAAGGGGATTTGCGACATCTCTTAAATCTAGCGGATTTGTTCTGGCAGGAACTTCCCTGATCTGGAGTCTACTTCATCCAGTGCACAGAGGGTTATTCTCAATTAGCAGGCTGAGATATGGAATACATGCACGGCTGCCACACTGTCTCAGAATAGGCCTGTTCTTCCCAGCAGGAAAACTTGAGCATTTTATAATTTACCGCATATCAGCAACTTGTACACACAGCAAGTTAGTCCAGATAGATTCGAGTCCAGCAGCAAGTTAGTACTGCAAAACAGCAGTAAAAATGACAAATCCTGTTATCGCTCAAAAGTCCACAACTGCAAGGTGGCAATCTTAAACACGGCATATCAGCAACTTGTACACACAGCAAGTTAGTCCAGATAGATTCGAGTCCAGCAGCAAGATAGTACTGCAAAACAGCAGTAAAAATGACAAATCCTGTTATCGCTCAAAAGTCCACAACTGCAAGGTGGCAATCTTAAACACGTTTACTTAAAAACAAGAGAATTACTGTCTGTAGTCAACTACAGACATTGACTATGCTAAAGCCTTTGACTGTGTGGATCACAACAAACTATGGCAGGTCCTTAAAGAGATGGGAGTACCAGACCACCTCACATGTCTCTTGAGAAACCTGTATAAGGGCCAAGAAGCGACAGTTAGAACCGGATATGGAACAACTGATTGGTTCAGCATAGGAAAAGGAGTACAACAAGGATGTATATTGTCACCTTGCTTATTTAATATATATGCAGAGTACATCATGCAAAATGCTGGCCTGGATGAATCACAAGCGGGAATTAAGATTGCTGGGGAAAAGATCAACAACCTCAGATATGCAGACGACACCACTCTAATGGCAGAAAGTGAAGAGGACCTAAAGAGCCTCCTGCTCAGAGTAAAAGAGGAGAGCGCAAAAGTGGGCTTGAAGCTCAACATCAAAAAAACTAAGATCATGGCATCCGGCCCCATCACTCCTTGGCAAATAGAAGGGGAAGTCGTGGAAGTAGTGACAGACTTCACGTTCCTGGGATCCCAGATCACCGCAGACTGTGACTGCAGCCATGAAATTAAAAGACGCCTGCTCCTTGGGAGGAAAGCGATGGCGAACCTAAACAGCATGATAAAAAGTAGAGACATCACCCTGCCAACAAAAATCCGCATGGTCAAAGCAATGGTATTCCCAGTAGTCATGTATGGCTGCGAGAGCTGGACTATAAGGAAGGCCGAGCGCCGAAGAATAGATTCTTTTGAACTATGGTGCTGGAGAAGACTCTTGAGAGTCCCTTGGACTGCAAGAAGAACAAATCAGTCAATCCTCAAAGAAATCAACCCTGACTGTTCCCTGGAAGGCCAGATAATGAAACTGAAGCTCAAATACTTTGGCCACCAAATGAGAAGGGAGCACTCACTGGAGAAGACCCTGATGCTGGGAAAGATTGAAGGTCAAAGAAGACGGGGACGGCAAAGGATGAGATGGTTAGACAGTGTCAGGATAGAGAACTACCAGAAGTACAAGCTGGGTTTCGAAGAGGTAGAGGAACTAGAGATCAAATTGCCAACATTCGCTGGATTATGGAGAAAGCAAGAGAGTACCAGAAAAATATCTACTTCTGCTTCATTGACTATGCTAAAGCTTTTGACTGTGTGGATCACAACAAACTATGGCAGGTCCTTAAAGAGATGGGAGTACCAGACCACCTCACATGTCTCTTGAGAAACCTGTATAAGGGCCAAGAAGCGACAGTTAGAACCGGATATGGAACAACTGATTGGTTTAGCATAGGAAAAGGAGTACGACAAGGATGTATATTGTCGCCTTGCTTATTTAATATATATGCAGAGTACATCATGCGAAATGCTGGCCTGGATGAATCACAAGCGGGAATTAAGATTGCTGGGGAAAAGATCAACAACCTCAGATATGCAGACGATACCACTCTAATGGCAGAAAGTGAAGAGGACCTAAAGAGCCTCTTGCTCAGGGTAAAAGAGGAGAGCGCAAAAGTGGGCTTGAAGCTCAACATCAAAAAAACTAAGATCATGGCATCCGGCCCCATCACTCCTTGGCAAATAGAAGGGGAAGTCGTGGAAGTAGTGACAGACTTCACGTTCCTGGGATCCCAGATCACCGCAGACTGTGACAGCAGCCATGAAATTAAAAGATTTCCTTGGGAGGAAAGTGATGGCGAACCTAAACAGCATGATAAAAAGTAGAGACATCACCCTGCCAACAAAAGTCCGCATGGTCAAAGCAATGGTATTCCCAGTAGTCATGTATGGCTGTGAGAGTTGGACTATAAGGAAGGCCGAGCGCCGAAGAATAGATTCTTTTGAACTATGGTGCTGGAGGAGACTCTTGAGAGTCCCTTGGACTGCAAGAAGAACAAATCAGTCAATCCTCAAAGAAATCAACCCTGACTGTTCCCTGGAAGGCCAGATAATGAAACTGAAGCTCAAATACTTTGGCCACCAAATGAGAAGGGAGCACTCACTGGAGAAGACCCTGATGCTGGGAAAGACTGAAGTTCAAAGAAGACGGGGACGGCAAAGGATGAGATGGTTAGACAGTGTCATAGATGCAACGAACATGGAGTTGAGCAAACTTCAGAGGACGGCGAAAGACCGGAAGGCCTGGCGTGATCTGGTTCATGGGGTCGCGAAGAGTCGGACTCGACTGTGCGACTGAACAAAAAGTCAACTACTCAGTGCCAGTCTTTACCAAAGTCAGGCTCTAAAACTGTCACAAGATATGAATTAAATCAGCATATGAATTCCTTTTCAGCATCTTCATGTTGGATTCTTTCTTTGAAATTCTATTTCTGAATGTAGTAACTTTTAACTGAATTCCAGAGAGTTTGAAATAGTTTGAGTCTTTTCATTTCTAACTGTAAAACCAGAAAGGAGTCTTATGCAATGCTATGTGGATCTACTCAGAATCTCACAGGTCTACTCAATGGGGGTTATTTCTGGAAAAGTATACTGTCAGACTGATGTTTTGATATATAAGCTTTCTTGGGCTAAAGCCCATCACTCTGTCTCGTGGAAGCTTATGATCTGTTAGTTTTTGAGAAGATACAACAAGACTTTGCTTCTGCTGGCTATCACACCATCTGTGATAACCGTCTGCTGTGTGTCCTTTTATTCTCTGTCATGGACAGTTGGGTTTAGGTAACAAAAATGACAGAAAAGAATCGCTGACTTTTGACTGGTGTGTGAAACTTGTCATAGAGGTCGTAAAAGCCTGCCGTGGCTGAAATGCTCTGCTCTGCAAAGCTGTCACAAGGCCTAAACGTCCTGCGCCCTTCCTTTCCCTCTGGTTACCGTTTTTCACTTTTCCAGATCAAGACTAGCTTTTTGGAGGAGGCAATCCAAAGCACGGCACATATGGAACTCACTGTCACAAGATATGGTGCTGGTCTCTAGCTCAAGTGGCTTTTGGCTTTGGAAGGAGCCAAGCAAAATTAACGGAGGAGATGTCGGTCAATTGCTGTTAGACGCAATAGATCAGTGAAAACTCCTTGTTCAGGAGTAGTATGTCTAGGAATTCTTGTTGCGTGGCGACGAAGCGGTAACAACAGAAACAGGTTTTGGCCTCTCTCCCCAGTTTCTGGGCTTTCCCCCGCCTCTGAGAAAATCAGGGAGGACTACAGGGACATTTGATCCAGCCGGGTTCTCTTCTTCTATTCTGACACTTAGTCTGTTGCACTTCGTAGAACGACTTTCTGAGGAAACACCGTTAATAAGGAAAGAGGAATTGACTACAAATCCCAGAATGTCACGGAGCAAAATGGGTTCTTGTACGCAAAATACGCAGTGCACCCTGGGTGAGGGAAAAGCCGGAAAGGGTAGGAGGAACGCTCTTCTATAGAATTCAAACGTAAACCGGAAGTGGGGGCTCTCATTTCCGGTAAGGGCCGCATTCCCTCCAGCTGGGAGAAAACAGAGAAAGGAAGGGGGGGGGGGAGAGAATCTGTGTGATTCTTGATCTCCCTCCGCGCGCGCTTAGCCCGGAAAATTTCCGGGATCGGATTTACCAGCGCGCAACCCGGAAGTACTGACCTTTGTTTCCGGGCCCAGCTATCTCCTACCCTCTCTCCTTTCACTTGTTTTCTCCCTTCCTTCCTCTCTCCCTCCCTCTCTCCTTCATTTCTTCCCCTACTTCAAAGCGGCCCTTCCAAAATGGCGCCCCTGGACTTGGATAAGTACGTGGAGATCGCGCGACTCTGCAAGTACCTGCCTGAGAATGACCTCAAGGTAAGATGGGCGGCCTTGGGGCGGAAGGAGCGGGGCTATTCCTCTCCTCTCTTGTTACCCTGTGAGGTTTTCTTTTATGTAAGCCGCCTGGGGGAGACTAGAGGCGGCACACGAAAGTTTTAGTGGAGTTCCATAGGCGAGTTGAGAATGTGGGTGCCCTGCAGTCGGCTGGGGCTCTTGGGGGCTTCCTTCTGCTCCCGGCTTCGGCGAGTTGGAGCGGGGTTTGAAGGCTGTCTCGTGAGGAAGTTGTGGTGGCACTGAAATGTCATAAACAGCTCACCCGGAGGAGAATTTTGAGGTAGGGAGCCACTTGGAGCTCCTTTCTCAGTTGGTGTTGTGGCAGTGGGTTTCTGGGAGGTTTTGTAAGTCTTGTCAAACACCTGATGGTTGTTGTTGTTGTTATTTATTATTGGATTTATGGATCACCCAATCCCTGCTGCTGCAAGGCTCTGGGCAATGTACAGTGGCGATAAAAACATCAAACATAGAATAAAACATCTGAATAACATCAATACCACAAATCTCAGATAGCGACTTCCAATTATTTCCGTTTACAGACTGCCGACCACTTTGTGGGGGGGGGGCAGGGCAAATACAGAGAGCAGAAGAGGGTGCCAGCCAAGGTGGTAACCGTATTGATGCTACAGAAATCCTGTAAACAGGCTGTATTAGAGAGGAGACTGATGGTTTAGTAGAGTTCTCTGGAGGGTAATGCTTTAGTTATTGCAGTATTTTGTAAACTTTCTCAAGCACAAGGTTGTGTGTGTTATAAGCAAATTAATTAGGTTAAAGTGTCCGAGTGTGGTGACTAGAGGTGGATGTGGCTTAGAGTAAGGCAGGGCAGGACACTGGCATTCCTATTTGACATAGGGTTAGATCCAGATAAAATTTTCCATCAGCAAATAGAATTTTCCTACCACCCTACTACAGCCCACTCATTTCCACAGAATGAGACATAGAGGACCTTGAGGATGACATGAAGGAGGTTTTAGTAGGAAGGGGAAATTGGTGGGAGCTGCTACTTTAAGTCGGGATCCAGCCCATAGAGATAAGCTAATATTTTATACTGAGATCAGGAAGAAGAAGGGAGTATATGTTCTGATAAATGTAGCATTTCAATAGGGGAGAAAACCAGAATGTAGCTTCTTTCTTGGAAAACAAACATGATGAATGGAGAACAGCAGGGCTTCCTTTCTCTAGGAGGTAGATAAAAGAGCATATTTGGTCAGGTACGGCTTTCTTTACCTCTGCATGACACACTGCAGAGACAAGCCTAGTATCTGTCATCTCAGTGCTTTTATACACACCTGTTAAAAGTTTTAGGAGCCTGTGCACATCTCAAATGGGTTAGTTGGAATACAAAAATCATTTTCTCCCCAGTTTGAGTATATTAGTGCAATGACAGATGGGAAGATGTGGGTTCATTTCCTCTGAGCAGGTTTTTGTTCTGCACAGCAGCTGTCTCCAGGAAATGGTTTGCAGCTAATGTTTTGCCGTATGTTTGTGCTTCAAGCTCTTGGCGGCCAGGGCTTTTGTCTTTGAATGGTCCCTAAAAAGAGCCTACACTGGGTGGTTTTTAAAATTTATTTTTCTCTTTTAGGCAACTGTAGCCTCTAAGGGAGTACTGCTTGTTAAACCACTTTATTTTTGCAATGATATACTAATTTTTATTTTAAGACAGAATGCCGTTTTTCCAATGTACTTGAGCCTGATAAAGTTCTTTGCCATGTACAGTGATTTGTACCATATACTGGAGCAGAAAAATATAACCTAAATGTGCTTCTTATTTTTTAAAAATGGTTTCCCATAATAATATTGTATCTCTTCTGTGATGCCATTTAGTACTTAGTAAGGCCTTTGCTTGGTTAACTCTGTTATCTTTTCGGTTGCTATCAAAATCAGCAGGCAAGATCTGGAATAATTTGGGATGTAGGTAGCTGTGTTGGTCCTTAGCAAAGGCCAGGAAAGAAAAAGCCATTTAATATCTTGTAATGAGACCAATCAAAATACCACATTATGGGTGTGCAAGTGTTCATATTTACCTGAATTCTTCTGTTTAAAGGAGGAGGGGGGAGTTGAGGAGTGAGCGCTTTCAATCCCTGATCTTAAGGACTCCTTATTTGCCTCTTGTGTAAGATGATCTGCCAACTTCAAAGAATGCAGGTTGGGGCTAGTATCAAATTGGACTCTTTGCCATCTATGAGGAAGCAGCAAAAAAGGGAAGCCATTCATTTAAGAACACAAACTCCAGTAGCTTATCAAATATATATCTTATTTGATAACACACAAAACAAAAGGCTTGAATAAGTTACTGGGAAATAAAAACACTAGTGGCTTCATTGCTAAAACTTGAATATCTTCCTGGTGTGTAAATAATCTTGAGGCTAATAGCAAGTAAGAATTGTTTTCTAGTGAGCAAGAGGAAAAAGGTTTTGCAAATCAAACACTGATCTCTACATTTTACCTAGCAAAAACAGTGACATGTAGAAGGACTGACTGTGTCATCCAAGCCAGTTTTGGTTTGACAAGTTTCTATGCAGTTCAGCTGGCCTTTGACAAGGTGCTTAAAATACATTTCAAGATGTTATATTGGATTAAACCCTTTTTCTGATCCAGGGTTTCAGGGTGGTGAGTGATGGGGGGAAAATAGAATGGCTCCAGATTGTTCTGGTATAGGTGCTATTGACCCAGAATGTACATATTCTATCATATGTAGCAAGCTGGTAGTTATTCAGAGTTCAGACAAATTTTCATACTGACCCAAGTAATTTTTCTCCCTGTAGCGCTTGTGTGACTATGTGTGTGACCTGCTCCTGGAAGAATCTAATGTACAGCCTGTTTCTACGCCAGTGACCGTCTGTGGAGATATACATGGACAGGTGAAATTTCATACAGATTATTCTTTTGGCATTCTCCTCTTCAGCACCAGAGAGGGCAGACAACTGCAAGTGTTATAGAGTTTGCAAGTATTTGCTTATGGAAAAACAGCTACTGTATTTGAAACCTCTTGTGATCCCCCCCCCCCCCCCCCCCCCCCAGCCCCTGTATTCTTGGTGCCATTGAAGGGAAGAGTGGTCTTGATGTATTTGCTAACAATACTAGGCTGTCTCTGTAATTCAGGAGTGATGGTTCGTGTGCAGCGTGCCAATAATGTTGCTGGTATTTTCTAACTTTTCCAAAGTTAGCGTTCAGTCCCGTCACGTGTCTCTCCACCTCAAAAGTGGTATTTGATGGGTATTTGAATAATTTTCTGAGGGACACGGTCGTGTAACTTTCCCGCTTCTGATCCTTGTTCAGAAACAGGCAGTTTTTAGACTGCAGTTAATTGAGTTCCTTAATGCTTGTGTGGATTTCCCCCTGAAGGCCCTGGCAGAAGATAGAATTCCATTCCAAGTAGGTGTGCACTGTGCCTAGAGAACTTCTGGGTTAACTTCAGGGTTTTCGGTGGGAGAACTTACATTTAACAACACTGATTAATGGGCCCTTATCTGGATGAGAACGGGTGAAAGTTCCCTTGCACTGGTATAATTTTACAAGCTGAGGTAATACACCAGTATGGAGAGAGCAGTTGTCAAGCTACAGCTGCAGCAGTAAAGATACCCTGTGTATTAGTTGGATGAGGTAGAAAACAATCACAGCAGGAGCAGTATGAGGCAGGGGCATCCCTGAGCAGTGCAGAATGACCATTGGCCATACTCCTCCCTTGCACACTATATCACTCTGCAATCATAAAACATAGCTTACATTAAAAGAAGGGGGGAAACGAACTATCAAGGCTTGCAACGTGAAAAAAAGCAAAGATTGTTGACTCAGGATGGATTTATTTTATTCAACATTTTCAATACATTGTACAACTAAATCCCACAAATGTAATTTATTCAAACTTTCTTTTCTAATCATGGAAGCTAATAACTAAATCTTTAAGGTGTTTCATCCACTCTTTCTTACTCAGTGTTGTTAATTTTTTCAGCAGCATGAAAGTGGTGGTTATGGAATTTAATGCAAAGTCTTTAAATATATTTGGAGTTTCCCATAATTCTGGGATGAGGGGGAGGCTACACCTTATTCCACTAGAGATCATATCTTGCCGAATTTGGCAGAATCTTACCATGCATCAGCACTTTTACCATCAATTAAAAAAAATGGTATTTTCTGCTTTATGATGTGAACACTTTCCATCCATTGAACCAAATGTTTTTACTAGTTTACTTGAGGCTGAATGCCACTGATTTGTCATTTTTACCACATTTTCACACATTGTAAGACAAGGAGAAAGTAGGGCCTTTTATAAATAGGAAATACATTGCAGGACCATTTCTCCTTGTATTTTTTTTCCACTGGCTTGCTATGTAGATTACCTAGGAGATTTTATAGTTCCTTTCTCTACTAATTCTCAATTTACCAGTTTCCTTATTGTCCCTTCCTTTCTCATTTGAGCTATCTAAAAACTTTTTTGTTGCAAATACTGACACACTGTAACATTACCTCTACAGCTAACAAAACAGTATCAAATGGAATCACTGCATCATTGTGGATGAGATTATACCTTAAACAGCCCTTCTCTTTTAGCTCCCAGAAGCAACTTAAATCAGGTTTAAAATGTTTCCACCTAAGTATAGTAGGAATAGATGTATTTATTTGCTTGCCTGTTTTTCTTTCCCTTGTGGGATTTTGGTCTCCCACCCAGGTTGCTGGTGGGACCCAGACCAGTCTAGCTATCTAATTTGTATTAATGTAGCATCCACTTGTTATAGCGTGCATAGCTTTTTGTGATATAAATGTGGGATTCTGAGCAGGTGCGTGCTGTGGATGCCTCTGTCCAATCTGTGTGTGGTAAACAAATGCCTTTCAGAGCCATTACTTATAAACAAAAGCAAGGATTACCTCCTGCTATCAAATGAGAGTTCTGAGTAATTTGGACTGCCATGCTAAAAGCTGCAAACTTGCTGTTGTTAAAGTTCATTTTTTTTCTTTTGCCTTTCAGTTTTATGATTTATGTGAATTGTTTAGAACTGGAGGTCAAGTTCCCGACACAAACTACATATTTATGGTATGTACAAACTGAATGCTAAAAAAAATACAGCTACTGTTAATGAAACATAATGTTAATCTGGGATTTGGAACACCCAGCAGGCTTTTGGCTTGTATTCAGTATGTCTTGCCTCTTTGCTTTCCTTATACTCTAAAAAAAAATGTGATCTGGCCCATGGTGAGTTGTAAGAAAGGATTCAAAGGCTATGTGCTGTCAACAGGGCTTGAAAAAAATTCCAGGTGCCTAGAAATGTAAAACTGTTAACTTGGTCCTACACAAAACCGACAGGATTGGACAAATCTTTGCCGCAGCTCTTGTTCCATATTATGGGAATTCTGTTATGGATCTCGGTTCACAAGTAGGAGGGGGCAGAGGGCTGAGGTGCTGTCACTGGGCAGGAGCGGCAATTAATGGAGCAGAGGGAGATGATTCTACAATTAACCAATCTATTAAAAGTCTGCATTTTTCAGTAGGGTTGTCCTAATGGTCATGATCCTGCAATGTTTTTGCTGATTTGCTTTGTGAAAGAGAGGGGCATGAGAAGTGCATTTGGAAGTACAAATAGTGGCCTAATCCAACACATGTGCTGTCTCAAGTGCCACAAAGCTCAGTCAAACCAGCTCTCAAGTGAATGTACCTAATATTGCTGCCCAACTCATTGTCGTACATGTACATATGAAGGGGTCTTGTACTGAATCAGGCCATTGTTCAGTTTAGTCCAGAATTGTCCTCTCTGACTGGCTGCAGCTCTCAGTGGTCTCAGGCAGAGTGAAATCCATCCCAGAAGTTATCTGAGGTCCATTACCAGGAGATGCCAGGGATTGAACCTGTGACCATTTGCATGCAAAATATATGCTCTGCCACTGAGTGAAACGCTGTTTTAACTTTCAGGGTGACTTTGTAGACAGAGGCTACTACAGCCTTGAGACGTTTACATATCTTCTTGCGCTAAAAGCAAAATGGCCTGATCGTATCACACTCTTGCGTGGGAATCATGAAAGCAGACAGATAACACAAGTGTACGGATTTTATGGTAAGGGCTTTTCTTTTTTAGAAAATTCTCAGTTGTAGTCAGCACACAAGCTTGTCTCTCTGGAACAAGCTTGTCTCTCTGGAAGTTGTAGTTTTTGGAAACTTGTCTCTCTGGAAATTGCGGTATTGAAGACATGGATTATGGGAAATGATTTTATCACAACTGTAAACAAAGATAAAAATGTAATTTAGGAAGCTGTAGGTACACTTCTGATGCTGTGGATTGTTAAAATCTAGCAGCGGTAGTACTAGGTGTGTGTGTTTTTTGTTGTGATTTGCATAGGTGGGTGCAAGAAACTGAGATTTGGCTCATGGATAGTAAACTGGATTGGGCTTGAAAATGCTGTATTCAAATCCCTAGTATTTCATGACTCTGCTGAATAATCCTGGGCACTGGAATTTAAACACCCATTCTGTCACTTTGTCAAAAGTTAACTATCCTTGAACAGTGAGTAAGAGTAGGTAAAGATTGTCTGTAACCTGTCCCATCTTTGCTTTAGATGGCGTAGATTAAAATAGTGATCAGTCATTCAAGAAATGTTGATGAGTTAAGATGGACAGCTTTATAATATGGTAGTGCAAAAGGACTATCAAAATGAAGTGACTTGTGGAGGCGTCCGTAGAGTGAGTAAGGTGAACATATGTGGCCAGGCTCTCAACCATTCTAGAAGCTCAGTGTGTCTTGTCTGGTTATCTTCTGAACCTGCAACCCTACTTGTCCAGCTGGACTGTGAAACTGTAACTAATACAACATGGTTTTCCGTGCCTCCTTCCTTTCTTTCTCTCATTCTAACAGATGAATGCCAAACCAAATATGGTAATGCTAATGCCTGGAGATATTGCACCAAAGTCTTTGACATGCTTACAGTAGCAGCGGTAAGGGTTTTTTTCTTAATGCACCTTATGAAAATGGAAAATGAGTGACTGTTTCCTAAATGTCTGTTGAATTTCAAGCTTGTGATGCTCGTATCCCTCTCTTCATCTTTAAGTTAATAGATGAGCAGATACTCTGTGTACATGGGGGCCTGTCTCCAGACATCAAAACACTGGATCAGATCCGAACTATTGAGCGCAACCAAGAGATTCCACACAAAGGAGCATTTTGTGATCTTGTCTGGTCAGACCCAGAAGATGTTGACACCTGGGCAATTAGTCCTCGAGGAGCAGGATGGCTATTTGGAGCAAAAGTTACCAATGAGGTAAAAAAAAAGTCCCAAACCCATCTTATAAAATGGTGTGCCTGGCAGCAGTTTCTAGTGTTTAATATTTTACTATTATAAGCAAAATGGGTCAGAAGGCTTGTCTAGCTGTATATTTGATGTGTTGTCTATAAAACGATGACAAGAATGCTGATCTTTTTTTTAATTGAGAGAGTTATTCCCTCAAAGAAAGAAAGAAAAACCAGCATTCTTACCATTGTTTCATAGATGACATGTCAACTTGGTAGCAGCCCTAATGGTCCAGGATAGCCCAGTGTCATCAGAACTTGGAAGCTAAGCAGGGTTGGTCCTTGAATGGGAGATCACAAAGGAAGACTGGGGCTGCTATGCAGAGGAAGGCAAACAACCTCTGCTCAGATCTTGCCTTGGAAACCCCACAAGGTGGAACTTCATGGGGTCGCCATGAGTCAGTTGCAACTCGGCAATACACGTAAATCCTCATCTTGGAAGAATTGTTGAAATCTGTTTCTCTAGCTTGTCATTGCCTCTGGGACAAATGAGTATTTTACAGGGAGAAATACTTTTTCTTTCTTTCTTCGTTTGCAGTCTTCTCATTTGGTGCTCTATGACGTGCATGTGGCAGTTAAGATGGGGAGGAGAGGAGAGGGAGAGGTCCCAGTCCTGCTTTGGCAAGCCCTTATTGTACTTGTGACCAGTGTTCCCTCTAAGCTGAATTAGTGTGAGCTAGCTCACAGTTTTTTAGCCTCCAGATCACACATTTCTGTCGCAGCTCAGGAAGGAGGGCTCCAGAGCAAACTAATTTATGCAGCAGCCAAATCACCTGCTCACAACTTTAATGCCAGTAGCTCCCAAAGGAGAATTTTTGCTCACAAGATTCCACAGCTTAGAGGGAACGTTGCTTGTGACCCAGTGTAAAGCTCTGTCTGGAGATAAATTTACATTACATCCATGACACTGCTGTTAGCGTGACACTGCTGCTGAAGCCTTAGGGTGCAGCAATAAAAACAGCAGCATTTCATGTTGTTGTATCCAGTGTTTATGTGCTTTGCCCCATGTTCCTTAAGCTGGTATTTTGCTTTCAGGACCACATTTTTAAGCACTGGGTTGAATCTGTAGCACCAGGTAGAGAACTGTGCTTACCGAACGGAAGTTCCATTCTTCCCAGCTTTAACCTGCTGTGTTTCCCAAAATGCAGCTCCTGGGGATTGATGAACCCTTGGGAAAGCCTGGGGTGCAGTGTTAAGGTATGCACTGGGAGGGGGACCATCAGTGGAACTCATATGTGAGTGGAAGTCCTCCTTGCAATTGATAAAAGGAGGTTTAAGATCCAGCCCATTGACTCTCGTAGTGAGAGTTCAAGGTGAAGAACAAGTGAACCCCTCAAATGGGAGATCTCATTATTAGTTTTTCTTTAAATATACAATACTCTTCTGAAGGATTGCCGAAACTACTGTCAATGGAAGGGGTTGCCTCCTTTATTGTATCCATTGTAAGTGTTTTGCCTCCCACTCCTTTTAAATTTTACAGTTTGTCCACATCAACAACTTAAAGCTCATCTGCAGAGCCCATCAGCTGGTGCACGAAGGCTATAAATTCATGTTTGATGAGAAGCTGGTAACGGTATGGTCAGCTCCGAACTACTGCTATCGCTGTGGAAATATTGCTTCAATCATGGTCTTTAAAGATGTAAATACGAGGGAGCCAAAGCTCTTCCGGGCAGTCCCAGACTCTGAACGTGTGATCCCGCCAAGAACGACCACGCCGTATTTCCTTTGAGACATGGCTCAGCTCCTTGTACTGTTTTCTTTGTGGTGTACTTTTTATCGAGCACTTTGCTGCTGAAATGTTGCCTCTTGCCTTTTTTATTTTTAAATTATCTAAATGTGTTGTATATTGTGTCTGTAGCGATGCGTCCCTCGATCCTTTCTGCACACCTTTTGTACCCCACCTCCCTTCCCAAGACTTGTCTGTGAGTGCTTCTGAAATGTCTCTAGCACTTACCCTGCTGGTGGTGGTTCTTGCATATTTGTGGGAGTATTTTTTAAGGGAAAACTGCACTTTTCCTTAAAATAATAAAAAATAGAGCAAGGCACCAGAACTAGTCTGATTTCCTTCATTTCATTCAGGAGGTTATTTTCAGGGAGGTTTTTCTTTTTTTGTAAGTTTTTAAGAAATTTCAGCAGCAAAGGCATATTCAGCGTTCACAATGGGACTCGTGATAGAAAGTGTAGCATACACATGTTCAAGATGTAAAAGTGAATTGTCCTACTTATATTTTGTTTTAAAGTGGGTATAAATAAGTGGTCTAAAAGCCTGCCCTGATTATATTTTCATTTTGTTTGCTTTGGGTTTTTTAGGATTCAAAAGTAAAATACAAAACCGGCAACAGGTATTTAAATTTGTATAGTAAAATAATTGTTCAGATTTTTTTCAGATACCTTGTATTTTTAATAAAGTCATATCCTGAATTCCGCCTCTAGGTTAAACATTGGAAATAAAACCCTACATTGTTAATATGAATGTATATGGTCTTTCTCTTTCCTTTGCACACAAGCATCTACTGAAGATTTGATTAGGGTTTGGCTAAGTACAGCTAGGTCTTTTAGGAGTGCAGTTGTATTCTGGAAACTGAGACCACCAATGTACCATTTCTCTGTTCCTGCAAAAACGTGAAGAATCCTGGCAGCTTTCAGTGGATTTTCCCAATTTTTCTCCAATTGTGGTACAGCTGTAAAGATATCAGAGAGAAGGATTTGACAAAAATAGAAAGGACTGGATTCTGACCTCCCTATAATTTTTATTTCCAGCAAAGAACACCTGAACTACTTAATATCATAACTGCAGAGTCTTTATTAGATTACCAAAGAAGCAAGTAATTTTTAAATAGAAAAAAAATTGCATCAAAGTATTTGCTGGACTATGACTAGCATAGTGTATAAAATGTCTCTTCTACTTAAGTGAGTGTATTATGTCTTGATCTTCTTTTTAAATATGCTGCAAGGTTCATTGTCAAGTACCAGGATATGACTGCTGTCTTCATTCACACAAAAAATGTACATAGACCAAGTAAGGGCATCTCCATAGTGTTGTTTAAAAATAAAATTCAATTGTCCTTTTTGTTCTTGTTGAAAAAAGTCCAATATGTTTAGATTTCAAAGTCATTTCTTTTAACTATTAACAGCCTGTTTTCTCAGGACAGTAATTTTACATATTTACCTCTCCAAGACACAAATATTCAGATATGTGGTGTGAAAAGTTAAGTCACTTTATTTAAAAATCTCGAATTGATGTTTTCAAATATAGGGCATATAATAAAGTAGCCTTAGCCTACTCTAAATGCACTAAAATGTATCTTTGCTGGATTTGGATACACTGATTTGGCCTGAAATGAGTTCAATATAAGTGTGTAGGCAGATTCTTGTTTTTACCTTTTTTGGATATGTGTGCCATGATGATAGAAGGTTCCAGTAGAGAATCTGTGCTCTTTTCAGCTGTTCTTCAGCTCTTTATAAACAGCATTGACCCCAGTATCTCTGAGAAATTGTTAATGTGTAGAATAGTGTCTAAGCTACTGATCCCTGATCCAAAGAAATGTAAGCATGCACAATGGAGTATTTTAAAAGCTTAAAAAACCCTCAGTGCAAACTATTTTAATATCCACTTTTTCCCAGCTCCCACTTTAAAAGTAGTATGAAGAGCTTCATGTGGGAGTCTGTGGTAAGGTACAAGAGTTGTGTATTACTGCTTTGATGGACCTCAGTGGGGTCAGGGGCTTACACTGTTTAATCCTCTGGTAAGATTTATAGTAACTTTTAGAAATTGTAGTTACCTAATAAACACTGAAACTATTACTGAATACTAAAGTATGTTCTAGAAATCTATACCATTGTAGGAAATGCTAACATATGCCTTGGGGGAAGGCTGTACCTGAATGGTAGTTCATGCCCATAATTTTGAGGGTTCAAGGTTCAGTCGCAAGTAAAGGCTTGCACCTTTCTCAGTCCAGTAGATAGTGTTGAGCTGAAGCAGTTCTATATGGTCTTCATCTGTTCATAAATGTCAATAGTTAGCTCACACTTCATATTTTGACACCTTTAATGCTCTCTTAAACTGACTTTTTGCCATGGGGGGCATTATTTTGTCTTTGAATTTAAGGATACATCTTAATTAAAATCCAAAACCATGTTCTAGCAAATCTGCATGTGCAATCTCTATCTGTGTGCTTTAAAAAAACCAAAAACATTATGGTGTTTGTGTTTAATCCTCCATGAAGGTGCTGCACACGAAAAGAGCTTATTTTATTTCTTGTTAAATTGTGAACAGTTGGATGATCAGTGTACCATCAATGTTTAGCTGGGTACTTTAGAGAGCACTCCTGAGCAGGTCTACTCAGAGTCCTACTCAAGCCTATTTGATGGGGCTTAGTTTTGGGGAAATTGTGTTAGGATTGCACTGTGAATCAAATTGATGTCAGTGGTATTTAGACACTGGATTTATGGTATTTACTTGGTAAGGCATCTTTTACTGATATATATACATGCATACATACACACACATACAGATGTTGGATGATCAGAGAAGCTGCTTGTATTAGAAAACAAAAGAGAAAAATTTATACAAATTAAGGATCAAAGTAAGGAACAGGAAGTAAAGATGAAACAAGACCCTTCAATTGAATATACAAGAGTGAAACTAAAGTTATTGCAACATCAAATGAATTGTCTGTTAACTCAAGAAATAACTAAAAAAATTACATATGCAAAACAAAATTATTTTGAAAATGCTAATCAACTAGATGGCATCAAGATCAAGCAGGCTTTTTACCAAAAAGACAACTTAAAAACAATGTAAGAACTATATTAAATGTAATTGAATACTTTGAAGCTCACCCAGAGAAACAGATGGCCTTGATTGCTAGATGCTGAAAAAGGTTTTGATAATGTCAGTTGGAATTTCATGGTGGAACAATTATTAACTTCACAATGTGGCAAAGAATTTTTCACAATGGTTAGAACAATTTATACAAAACAAGCAAGGGTTCTTGTTAATGGAGACTTATCACAAAATATTGAGATACAAAAAGGAACCAGACAAGGATGCCCACTTTCACAGTTATTATTTATATTTGTGCTTGAAATACTGAATGATATGATCAGAGAAGATACTCATATTAAGGGACTTAAAATAAGAGGAGAAGAATACAAATTGCAAGCATTTGCAGAGGATTTGGTATTTATTTTAGAAAATCCATCGGACTTCATTATGCAATTATTAGAAACTTTGCAAAGATTGGTAAAGTTGCTGGACTGAAAATCAACTTTAATGAAACAAAGATGTTAACGAAAAATATGACTAAAGTCCAAACCGAGCAATTACAAGAAATATCAGGTCTGAAAGTCAAGAAAAAGGTGAAATATTTTGGAATAAATATAACAAATAGATGCAGTTCCTTGGTGAAAGAAAACTATATGGAATTTATATTGGATATTAAGAAAGATTTGGAAAAATGGAAAAACTTACAAATATCCCTGATGGGAAGAATAGCTACAATAAAAATGAATATTTTTAAGATTTATTTCAAACAATTCTAATCCTTCAAAATCAAAAATATTGTAAAGAACTTGATAAACTGATGGTACAATTTATATGGCAAAACAAGAAACCAAGACTAAAACTGAAAGTGTTACAAGATGCAAAAGAAAGAGTGGGATTTGCATTGTCGGAGTGGCTTTTATATTATAGAGCTTCATCATAGATGTGGATAAAAGAATGGATTACATTAGAAAATACTAGACTATTAACATTAGAGGGACACAAATTATTATTGGGATGGCCTGCGTTTATATGTTATGGAAAGGCTGATACTCATTAGAAAAACAACATCTCATTAGAAGATCCCTATTGAAAATATGGGAAGAAGTTAAAAGACTTTTTTATACCAAGATACCAAAATGGATTTCACCATTAGAAGTGTTCATAAACCCAAAATTATTTCAAAAAAAAGGTGCTCTTAAGATATGAAGACTTGTTGGATAATAAAAATGAATTAAAACCAACAGAAGATTTTAATTTAAGTTGGTGGGGAAGAGTTCAAATAAAACCAAGATAAGCAAATAGGCTTTTATTCAAATATAACAGAAATTGATAAGATATTGTTATATACTGATGAGAAATTGATTAAGAAATTATATGTAATAATGTTAGAATATAAAACACAAGATGAAATAGTTAAAAACTCTATGGTCCAATGGGCATAAAACTTGGGTCATAATATTGATTTAGACCAGTGGGTACAGGTATGGGAAAAATGTAAAGTTTACTAAAGCAATGACTTATAAAGAAAATATTTATAAAATGTTTTATAGATGGTATATCACTCCAGATAAATTAGCAAAAGTTTATCCTGACCTAACAAATGATTGCTGGAAGTGTAAAAAAAACGCTGGTTCCTTTTTTCATATGTGGTGGATGTGTGATAGAGTTAAAAAATATTGGTCCTGGATTCATGAATTGTTACAAAAAATGTTAAAATGTACCATACCTTATATACCAGAATTGTTTTTATTGAATATATTACCAGAAATGTAGTGACAGCTGCAAGAATATTATATGCCAAATATTGGAGGAATAATGAAGTACCTTCAAAAGAAAAATTAAATAAAATACTTGAAACCACAGAAATTCATAAATTAACTTTAATTTTGAGAGGACAAAATGAACAAAAATTTGAGAGTACATGGTTAAGGTTTTATAAATGGAGAGAAGAATACAATAAACCATATGTACATACAACCAAATCAGAAGGAAATATGAACTATATTTTTAGTTATGAGCAAAGTATTACTCAAAATACATGGTGGGGAAAAATAAAGAAGCAAAATATATAATTAGATAATGTATGAGGTAACAACTTGGAACCCCCCAATCTGTATGTATGTATGTTTGTTGTTTTTTGGTCTTTTATAAAAATAAAATTGTTTTAAAAACAAAAACCCTGGTTTGCATATACATCTCTGAATTTGAAAATTATCTGCTGTCAGAACCAACCAAGCAACAGTCCAGTGGGCTCAAATTAGTGAAAGATTCTGTGTCAAGCAAGTACCATAACAAGAATTGTATAAAGCCTGTGACCAATAAAATGTGATACATTTCCTAGCCACATTCATGGCTAGACAGGAACAGCTGCAGAGAAATGTAATGCTTTTCTATTATGTGTGTTCTCTAGGAGTAAACCTTTTGATCAAAATTACCCTGCTTTTGTTGAGTGACTTATGCAACATGAGGGTTTTTTTTTACAATGTAGTGACAGTCTTAGTAAATGGAACCTAATGAACAGTGGGTGTTTTGACTATAGATTGTAACATGACACGACACCAGCATGCCCAAGCCACTCAAAACACAACTGTTTGAAGTGCTGATTATTTCTTTATCCTATTCGTTTTTCATGGTGTTGTGACAGCATGATGAACATTTTGGAAATGATGTCCAGTGGGACTTCGGCTCTGAAACGGATGTAGGGGCTTGAACCCTAAATGCAGTAGTGACTAGACCTTACCATAGATTCATAGCCGTGTTGGTCTGAAGCAGCAGAGCAAAGTTTTATTCAACTTTGTTGGTCTTAAAGGTGCCACTGGACTTAAACTTTATTCTAGACCTTACCATCTTTGTTAAGATTTGGGGCAATAGTGCATCTCTGAGGTAAAATGAACTGAAGTAAGTTTTCAAGGAAATTGAACTGAATGAGTTGCTTCAAGCATGGGGCTAGGGTGAGACACAGCTAATCAATAGCCTAAGTTGCTGACACAGGATGGTCCCTGCAAGGCTGTCAGTGACAAAGTACTGGAAACAAACCAATGTGCCAGCTATTGAGGCCTGGCTTAGGAGGCGTTGGTCGACCATGTCACAGACAGAATATCAGTTTGTAAACAACTGAGATGGGGGGTAGGGTTGCCAACCTCTGGGTGGTACCTGGAGATTTCCAGCTATTACAATTGATCTCCAGAGGAACAAAATCAGTTTCCCTGAAGAAAATGGCTGCTTGGAGGGTGGACTCTATGGCATTATAA